CCTGGACCAATTCGGCGTGGCTCGTAGAGATAAGAATTTGGAATTTAAGCCCGCCTTTCACTCCTGCCTCCATGGCTCATGCAGGCCCGGGGGTCTGGGGTCCAGAAATGTCACACCCACCCACCCCCGCCCCTAGGCGTGCGCTGGTGGGGCCCCTGTGCCTACTCCGGAAGGGGTGCGCACTCCTGAGTCAGCGTGAAGTCTGCAATGAACGGAGCTCTTCCCTGGTGGATTTGATGTTAACCCCTTCCATAAGGTCAGCAGTTCGAAACCAGCAGCGTCAGGAGAAAGATGAGATTGAGTACATTCACAAATAACCAGTGTCAGAAATCCACAGGGGCACTTCGACATGACTCGGAGTCGATGGCAGTGAGTTTGGTGTGAGCCTTTCTTATGAAAGGTTTTACAAGGTACATTGATTGTCAGGTTGCTAAGCACGTTTCATGTGTGTCTTCAGGGAGTCCCTTTCTTGACCCTCCGGATGAGTTCAGAAAATGTCCCTAAAATGATTAGAATCCTAGGCCTTCTTTTGCATTATTAAGGACTTATTAAGGAACTGACTTTGGAGGCTGCAGAAGTCCTACAGCTCTGAAGGTTACCAGGTCTGGTCCACCTTTCCTGCCCCAAAGAGGAGTGACCGGCTGGAAGCTAGAGCCATTTCCCTCCCGAAACCAAGCTTACAGGCCACGTAGCCCATTCTGACTCATTGCCGCCCTATAGGGCAGGCCAGAACCGCTTGGCTTTACAAGACTGTAACTCTTTATGGGAGCACAAGTCTTCATCTTTCTCCCAAGCAGCGGGCAGTTTCAAACTGCTGACCGTAACCCACGAGTCCACCGAGGCTCCTCTTAGAGCCATGTGGGATCCAGGAAATGGGGCCTGATTTGGGGGAGCGTCTTTTAGACAAAGACCCCAGTTTTAAAGTTCACTGGGAAAGTTCAACATTCTTGATGTGGATAACATGAAAGAAACTAGTGTTTGATTAAGCACCTAGTACGTGCCAGGCGGGTGCATGCTCTCTGATCATTGTCTGTTTCATAGCCCATGAGGTAGGTATTCCGATCCCGCTTCTCAGGTGAAGAACTGGAGACTTGGCTAGATTAAGTAACCTGCCCCAAGCAGGTGGCCAAGCCGAACGGAGTTCCACCCCGGGTGGATCTGCCATCAGACCACAGGGCCTGGAGGAGTGTTTCTAAACATGGGTGGAAATTGGAATGAAAAGGTAATGAAATTTTCCCAGGAACTTTTTGAAGACCCCCCCCCCCCATTTTATGTGCCCAACCGATCAGTTTCCTTTGCCCTCTATAGAGTTCTAATGTGTTCTAATCCATCACTGACATTTAAAAGTGGAGGTTTCCCTTCAACAGCCTCATTTCTGGCTTCTCTTGGAAAACTAGATCTAATGACAAACGCCGAGAGGCGCCGCTCCCTTTGAGCTAAGACTCACGTGTCCCAGCTCACCGTTTTTTAAAAAATCACCAGGTCACTCCACTCCTTTAGTTATTTGCTCAAAACAAACTCATGTTACTCCCCCAAACCCAACCCACAGCTGTCGAATCAAGTGACCGCAGAGGCCATAGTGAGCTTATAGGACAGAGTACAACTGCCCCGTGGGTTTCCAAGGCTGTGCACCTTTTGCCAAAGCCGACTGCCACAGTTTGCTCTCAGCGGCTAGCTGCTAGGTTCCAAGCACCACCGTCTGGTTAGCAGCCAGGGGCTTTAACCACTGGGACACCAGACTGCTTGTCCTCTACCAGTGCCTCTCAACCATGCCGTGCTTCACAGACACCCGAGCAGACGTGGTAAAATGCAGTGTGTGTGTGGAGATGGCCGGGACATTATCACATTGCGGGTGGCAGTGCCAAGTGGTGCCTGCGCCCCTGCAGGCAAGATTTGCCATAGGACCGCCCTGTTGTCGTTCAGTGGGTGGCTCCTGGAGCATTGTCATCATCATTGGGATGTGTGAGCCCATTGTTGCAGCTGCTGTGCAGTCAGGAACTTCCAAGCCAGGGCGTCTCCTCGGCCAGCACAGTGTCCGACGCTATTCTGTGTGATCCTTACATTTTCATCCGGTAGTTTCCAGTGCTTGCCAGGCCTTGCTTCCTAGTTTGTCTTAATCTGGATGTGCCACTAAGCCTGCCCACGGTGATCCACCCTGCTGGTATTTGAAATCCCAGCATTGTACACCATGTGAGCCTTCACAGTCTGACACACTGATGGGTGGGCGATGGGTGGTGCGGGTTACCAGTGACCCAGCAGTTTTACTACTATGGCTATACACTGAAAAGAGCTGAGTGCAGCCATTTAAGCAGGACCATGTCCATGATAGCTGTATTGCCCACAGTAGCCAAAGCACACAAACAGCCCAAGTGCCCATCGGCAGAGATGAATGGATAAACAGAACGTGCTACGTACATATAATAGAGTATTTTTCAGCTCTAAAAGGAAAGTTCTGATACCCACCTAGTGAAGCAATCCAGTTAGGCAATTTATGAAAAGCACATTTGGTTAAAAAACAAATAATATTCTCTAACCCCCTCAAAAACAAGCAACTAAACAAGGAATAAACCTGCCCAGTGATTCACCCTGGGGGTGGGGGAAATGAAGACCTAGTGCTTGTCACACTCGGCGGCAGGACTCCCCATCGACCTGCGACCCTGTGGTGAGTGGTCAGCCCGGCCCAGGTCAGTGGTATCTAGAAAAAGACAGCCATGTTTCCCAGGTGTTCCTCCTGCCTTCTGCCCGGCTGGATGCGTCCCCAGGGTGCATTTCCCATCGTCTCACCAAGGCCTGACCCTGACCACCTTTGGAAGGAGCAGGAAGACCACTGCCTCTCCTGTGTAAGTGCCTTGAGGGCCGTGGTTCTCAACCTTACTAATGCCGCGGCCCTTTCATACAGTTCCTCGTGTGTGGTGCCCCCCCACCCCCTCCAGTCATAACATTATTTACGTTGCTACTTCATCACTGTCATTTTGCTACTGTTAAGCACCGGGTGACCAGGTGAAAGGGTCGTTGGACCCCCAGAGGGTCCCGACCCACGGTTGAGAACCGCTGCTTTAGGGTCTGGCGGTGTTCCCTGTAGGCTCTTTTTGCAGCGTGTTTCCAGAGGAGCCTCTTCTTTCCCCTTCTCCTCCGCCAGCCTTGGCACTCTAGCACGCGCACGCTCCCCCGGCCGGCCTGATGCCCTCCCGTTTCTGAAGTCCCTGTCCTGAACCCCGCATAGGTCGTCCCATGCCCTGATTGTGAGTGCTTCTGGGTCATGCCATTCCATGTTGACTCCTGCTTACGCGAGCCACTCACTCGAGCAATTCATGACCTCTCCATATGAATGGTTTTGCATTATTTTAGTTTGGATTTTTTGTCTGCCTTTTCAACAAGATTATAAACTCATGGAAGAGAAAGGTTTTATCATAGCCTTTTGTTTGGGGGTGGGGATGGTGTTTTCTATAGTATATTGCCTAATGGCCTCTATACAGCAACTATGCAACTGATTTCCGGGAGATCTCTTTGTGACTCTCTTGTGATGGATTACTGGGACCTGACAAAAGTCTCCACCCCGGCACTCAGTTTGAAGAGCCAAATCGCCTGAAACTCAACAGTGTGGGGGGTTTCTGTAATCTGTAAACAATGCCTTTCAGGAAGCTGCTAATCATTCAGGAGCTAGGACATTTGCTTGTTGAAGTTTTGGAATCTGAAATAAGGATTATTCTCTAGTTACTTGAGCAGGAAACCACGTGACAGCTAGTTCTGAAGCCACGTGACAGCTTCTGCTAGTGTATGATAACCAAGCAGCATGACTCAGCTGCTTCCTTGTTGATCATCTGGTTGAGCAATCGAGGTACATCTCATGTCCTAGTTTCATATTCAAGTTGAACCCTTTGGCTTCTCCGTGAAGGCTACAGGCCAAGCTTGAACTTGGATGGTTCTGTAATTAGAATTCCTCTGATGACTGTGGACAGATTTGTGGAGGCTCAGGAAAGAAATGGGTTAAAGTACGCTTACTTCAAAATGCAAAATCAAGAGAAAGGCCAGGCTTAGTCAGATAGAGACAGATGGGTACCCCAAGATTGTGGCTCTCCATCACCCTCGAGGTCTGGAACTGTGGTCAACCCTCAGAGCAACCATTTGAGATAAAAAAGGGAGGGTTTGCACAAGGACTGAGTCTGGAGGGTTAGGAATGAGGGAGGGGCGGGAACTAGAAACAGGGGGAGAGGGGCAGGCGATAGTGCCGGGGGTTACAGTGCATGAGGTGAGGCGGGGCGGGCCTGGACTGCTGAATGTGAGGCTGGTGACTTGCTCTGTGAACTTGCACCTAATTCACAATTTAAAAACAACAAAAACAATTTAAATGCTGCTGCTGCTGTTAGTTGCCATTGAGTCACGGAGCTTTAAAGGATTCTCAGGCTGCCTTCCTGATGCCACGGGTGGGTGTGAACTGCCTGCCTTTTGGCTAATTCCAGTGCGACACCCAAGGACTCTAAATTCAGTTCTTTATGGGGTGTGTGTGCGTGTGTGTGCGTGTTCTCCATCCAAGCAGTGCTGCCCCTGCGCCATGTGGGAACTCAGTCACGCTCCCGGAACACGACGTACGCAATGCAGCAGAATTGACCCCCCTCCGAGTTTGGAGGTCACACAAGAGGGCCTTCTTTTCTGTCCGCAGGCAAACCAGCAGGCTACGCTGACCATGTCCCTGGCTCAGACGGACTTCTGCAGGAAATACGGGTTTGATCCCCAGAGCCCCCTGTGTGCCCACATAATGCTGTCAGGAGAAGTCACAAAGGTAAGCAGTCCCCTGCTCAGGGAGGAGAGACGCACCGGTTTGCACAGCGTTGCCCAGCGAAGAGCTCTCTCTGGAGAGTAGAGGAGGCTGATTAGTGATTGAGTTGCAGAGTGAGATTATCATTAGGTGTAAAATCATTCTGTGAACGGGAAGGGTTTTATCAGCTTCTTTAATATAGATAGTTGATAATGTATTTCAAGCTACATGGATTATTTTCCCAAGGCAAGCAGATATAACAGCCCAAAGTCCCTGATTTTACAATTACTCGTGTAAAGGAATATCTGCTCCCCCAGAGCCCCGGTACAGTCTTGCCCAGGCTGGGCTCCTTGTCTCCACATCGAGTCCCGGCTCGGAGCCGAGAGGGTGTTAAGAGGGCAACAGTTACTACAAACGAGACCCACGCATCGTCAGCCCCTGGTGCTGGAGGAAGAGGTCGCGCAGAGGCCTGGGAAGGGCAGTGGGTGCCACAAGAGCTGACTGCCGCGCCAGCAGATTTACCTGCGATCTTGTGTATCGCCAGTGCCTCCTGCTAGTTTTAGGTAGGAGTGGCCTGGAATTCTGAGTGGGCGCAGCTGAGCATCTGCGTGCTCTTCACAGTCAGTGAGGGGAGGGTGCACTTGAGCTCCACGGAGCTCCTCGAAAGCTGCTTGTCCTTTGTGCGCTCACCAGGTGCTCACGGTCTCCATGGGCAGCACACGTAGGTCATGGGGTCGACGGACTGACATGCCGTTACAGGCCCCGATAGTGTTTTGTGACAGGGTCTCATAGTCACTCTGGTGGCTCAGGATCCTCGCTGGCTGACGTTGGGAACCGGGGCCGCACGATGTCTCCCCACTTTGTTTTCACCAGCGTTTGCCACCTGCCTTGCTCTCTGCTTTGCCTCTGGTTTCCTTCCCCGTGATCCCTTCAGCGTGCAAGCACTTGCCTCTCGGCACAGCCACGGGGTTCATAGGAGGCTGGAACCACAGTGGGAAATCACACCGTCCGCGTGTTGCATGAACATCACTGTCACCCTTGCCCGCCAGGTGAACGAGACGGAAGTGGAGTTTGCAAAGACTGCGTTATTCACACGGCACCCCGAGATGAAGACCTGGCCTGCCGACCATCATTGGTTCTTTGCGAAATTGAATATCACCAATATCTGGGTCCTGGACTATTACGGTGGAGCAAAAACAGTGACACCTGAAGACTATTACAAGGTCACATTTCAGTGAGTCTTTGTGCATCTGCCACCTCCCTAGAGAGGGCAGCGGCTGGGGTGGAGTTCCACTGGCCTTCCGTGCAGAAGACCGCCACGGGCAGCCACCACTCACCTGTCAGGAGAGAGTAGAGGCTGGCTGGCTGCGTGCCATCCTGCCAGGGAGGTTTCGGTGGAACCCCAGGCTAAGATGAGGAAGAAAGGCCTGGCAGTCCACTTTTGTAAACCAGGCAGTGAAAATCCCTTGTAGCACAGTGGCCAACTGGTGGTGCTGTGGGTTAAGCATTGGGCTGCTAATGGAAAGGTCAGAGATTCAAACCTGCCAGCCGGCGTGTAGGGAAAAGGTGGGGCCGTCTGTTTCTGTAATGATCACAGCCTAACAAACGCGAAGGGGCAGAGTCGAACCCTGTGGGTCAGTCGTCTGGAGGGCAGCGGGTCATCTGGTGAGCTTGTGGCGCAAACAGTGAGGTGCGTGGTTGGTTGCCCCCTTCAAACACCCCCCCTCGCCCCCTGCCCCAGTCCCCTGAGGGAGAAGGGCTTGAGGGTCTGCTTCTGTAGAGAGACCACCGCGTGCAGTTCTACTCTGACACGGGGTGCTGGGGTGCTAAGTCAGCACGAAGGCACCTAAGGATGCCACCAGCCAGGGGTCCACCCCCCCCCTCAATTTGGAGCCGCCTGGGCTTGATAACGTGTTCTACTTGTAATGACCACCACGGTGGCGTTACCTGAACTGTGGTGTCCAGGGATCCCTGTGTGCACATGGTGCTTGTGTGTGTGTGTGTGTGGGGGGGGGGCGTGCTTGTTAAAATGAAGATTCTGGGGCCCTACTCAATGCCAATAGAACCTGGGCCCAGGAACCTGCGTTTAAACAAGGGCGATTCTTCAGTGCCCTGCTGTTGTGTGTCATCAATCGGTTCTGATTCGTAGAAGCCTGTGTGATAGAGTAGATGCCCGCCCATGGGGTCTTCTCGGCTGTAACTGCCACAGGCGTGGACTGCCCGCTGGGACTCGCCTGCCCTTAGCAGCTAAGCACTTAGCCACTAGGCTCGTCCTTGGAGGGCCGGCTCCACTGCTGTCCCATCAGATCCATGCTGACTCTGTGACCCTGTAGGGTCTGTGCTGGGGCAGACAGCCTCCTTGTTCTCTCTCGGAGTGGCCGGTGGGTTTGAACCACTGACATTGTGGTTAGCAGCCTGATGCTCATCCCACAGTGCCACCAGGCCTCCAGCAGTACCCTAAAGGAACTGAAGCTCACCATCAGACTTCGCAGGCAGGTTCGCTATTCCCTAGAACAAAGGCACTTTGAAGCTTTTAGGTCTAATGACATAATTATTTTTTCCCTGCTCCTCCCCTTTCTAGGTGAAGCAGAAGGTGGCTAATTGAACTGCAGGAAGGAAGCGTCAGAGGATGGCCCCTTCAGATCTCCAGGGCTCTGTTTCTGGGGAGGGTTTCCCCGCTGTCCTGCACACACTGGCTGGCCAGCTAGAGCTGGCTGGCTTGCTTACAGATTAGAGTTGGACTTGTTACTGCATTTCTTGGAGGACGTGGTTGCTGCCGATTTCCTAAAGAAATGTCTTCCATTAAGATCAAAGAAGTTGTGTCCACCAGCGCCTGATGGTTCCTCTGACACTGCTCCTTGCAGGGGAGAAGCATCAGATCTAATTGCCCCCTGGCCTTCAAAGCTGCCTGTGCCTTCATCCTGGAAGCTGCTCTGCTCCACCGAGAGTCTCTTGGTTCAACCCGGGTTGAACCAGATTCTTTGTCGTGACGAAATTAAAAGGAAGTTCAGCTACTTTTCTTGAATTTGATTATTTGATTTTCCCCATTCTCACACACATGCACTCTCTCTCTGCTCTCTCAGACACAGACATACACACACACACACACACTTTTTAGCCCCAATGAGTTTGCAAAAGATAGAAGGTAGGGGAATATGTGTGCGGTCTGGTCAGAACCCCTCTTTCCCAGTCCCACCCACAGCTCTTGTCAGCCGGCTCCTCTCACTGTGACCTGTCTTCCTTGGCTGCCCTGAATCCCTCAGTGGTCACTAATTCGGCAGCAACTCCTTACCTTGGTCATCAGTGGGCAGATAACATGGCATTAAAAAAATAAAAACTGCAGAAAAGAAGATGTGGTATACCGTATATACTCGACCTGAATATAAGCCGACCTGAATATCAGTGGAGGCACCTAATTTTACCACAAAAGCTGCATTTAAACTGTGCTGAAAAACTTGGCTTATACACGAGTATATACAGTACTTTTATTATTACCTATATATATGATTTCAGAAGGCAAATCAAGACTCCCCTTGAAAAGGCATGCCAAGAAGGGGTCAAGCCTCGACAGTCTTTGATGGCCAAGAGAAAGGAAGTTAATGTGAGTTGTGTTGGAAAAGTACAAAACAAATCCAGCAGACAGCTTTTGTTTAAGGCAGGGGAAAAAAATTTCTATTGCATTTAGTAAAATGGATTTCATATTCAAAGCATTCATGATTAAAAGCAATATTTTCATGAAACGTATTGGGCTTCTTTTCTTAAATGAAAGTCTGAAGCTTTATCGCACAGGTTCAATGTCTACTGTCAAAACCTTTTCTACTTTTATTTTAACATGTTTTTAAATTCTCTGTTCCAAACATTGCAATGAGTTCGAGTACCATTAGCATGACTGTTCCTCATTAGCACCAAGTCACCAGCCCTTACAGTTTGGGGTCCACCCCCATTGGGCCTGGGTCACCTGCCCTGCCCTATGGCCTCCGATACGCAGGTTGAACCATTGATCAGGTTGTTAGCCCCTGGGTGCCACATAAAAATGCACCTGTATTCAGAGAAAATCCACTTGGAACAATGCAAAAGCCAACCAGCCAGCGGCTTCTGCAAACTCCTCTGTAATTGGATGTGCACAGTCTGGTATGGTTACATCTTGGCCACTAGGGGGAACTGTAGGCCACCTTTTGTGCAGCCGCAGCTGTCCTGGCTGCTAAATCAAAGCTCTATAGCAGCCTGGTGAGTCAGGGTGGGAGCTGGGGAGCCTGGAGGAAGGGGCATTGGAATATAGGTAGCCCAGCCAGGGCAGTATGAGAAGCAGAGGGGTGGTGTCATGGATATGTACAGCATGCACCCTTTCTTGCCTGGCTTCTGGCGTCCCCGAAGTGCACCCACTACAAAACAAGGACTTAGGAGGTGGCAGGCTGAGTATCTTAAAAAGGAGCTGGCTTTGAGCAGGGCAGCAGGCTCTGCTCAAGAACAGATAACACGCAAAGAGGGTGTGGGTGAAGGCTCGAGCTACAGAGGTCGGTGACTGGCCGCTCGTCCGAGGCAGTCATGTGACGACGCAGAGTCATTCTGCCCCCTGGCGTGCTACCCCTATCAAGAGTTAGTCTCAGAAACCCACGCGGGCAGTTCTGCTCTGTCCTACAGGGTTGCTATGAGTCTGCATGAACTCCGTGGCAGTGAGTTTTGGGAGTCCAAGTTCAAACTCTCGGTATGCAGTAGGCTGGAATGCGGCTGACCTAGTGAAATAAGCACACTTCGGCTGGAGCTCTAGGAGGTAGCCTGGAAGTGCTCGGTGGTTCTCAGAAGATCCCAAGGTCACTGCAGACTGTCCTTTCCTGGGGCAGGTGTTCGCAGTTCTAGGACTAAGAAGCACAGCGTTCTACTTTGCGCGACGTTGACTGGTCAATAATTGCAGGCAGGCGCAACTTCACTTTAAGAACAACGGGGGTATACCATATTTTTCAGGAAATAATTACATAAGTCCTTATTGGAGTTAAGGAGGATGGCAAAGAAGAAAGCTTGTTTCTTTTTTATTGCTCTTTTTCACCCTTTGTGTCTATTGTCAGGGTAATATTTGTGCAGAGAATTTGAAAGAGAAAATGTTAAAACTTTATCATCTCACCAGCCAGCACGACTGCTCATATATCTTTATTTGTTTTCTTCCAACCCTCCCTGAAATTTTAAAGCAAAGTTGCTGCCATACTGTACACCGATGATGCGCCCTGCTTTTCATTTTATCATACATCGGTTATATGTCTGCAGAATATTTCATTAGGTGGTTGTACCCAGGCTACCAATTCATGTGTTGCATTAGGACTCTAGGTTGCTAGAGAGAGAAACCCAACTCCAAGTAGTGGTGGAAGTGGTGGAGGTGGAGATGGAGGAGGAGGAGGGTTAAAGGGAGGTGGTAGAGGTAGAGGAGGGGGAGGGGAAGGGGGAAGTGGTGGAAGTGATGATAGTGTTGGAGGTGGAGGTGGAAGTAGAAGAGGTGGAGGTGGTGGTGGTGGAGGTAGAGGAGGTAGTGATGGAGTTACAGGAGGTGATGGTGGAGGTAGAGGTAGTGGAGGAGGAGGGGGGGTAGAGGTGGTAGTGATGCCAGTGGGGCGGTGGTTGGGTACCACTAGTAGATTAGAACTCAAAGTGATCCATGGGACAGAGGAGTGCTGCCCCGTAGGGTTTCTTCACTGTAGCTTTTACAGAAGCGGGTCACCAGGTGTTCCTGCCCGAGAGCCCTGAGAGGGGCTCAAACCACCAGCCTTTCCGTGTACAGCCAAGTGCTGAAACATTGATGTCGTCAAACACTCCTCCACTACCTCGAGGTAGTTTAAGCAAACAGAGTTCCCACTTCTCTAAGCACTTCTTGGGAGTGTGCTCTTCCTGTTAGTTCTTGGCTCCTCTTTCCCTGGGGTTGGTTGACGGTGTACTCCGTCCCTGCAGCCAGCAGCTCAGAGCACAGAGCGGCATCATTCATGGGAACTTAGCTGCCCCCAGACTGACTCCAGGGAGGCCATCGGGGTCCTAGCCACCCCCGAGCCATCTCTGTGCATGGGGATGGGTGCTTTTTTGGGTCAAGACTGAGCCAGGCACCCTTGGGTGGGTGGACACTCAATTCAGCACCAAGAGAACTCCAGGGACCCACCAAGTTTGGGATGCTAAACAGAAAAGAGACGTTATGTTAACGCAAGGGATACTGGGCAGGACAAAATCAAGAGCAGTTCCCACTCTGCCCTGGTTTCAGACATCCACGTTGATTTTGGACAGTCCAAGGTTTCCCTGTTGTTACAAGACAAAGTTTTCATACAGGAATTACTACGTAGCAATCCTGTTGGGTAGACTGCCAGTAGTGGCATTGCCAAGCCAAATTTGGCATGAGGTTCCCAATTGCTTAGTTCGAGCCCACCAGCTGCTGCGTGCGAGATGGAGTGGCAGCCTGCCGCTATCAAGGGCACAGTTCTCTGTCCTGAGCAGTGGGGCGCTGTGGGTCAGACTCCTCAGCAAAGATTTGCTATTTTCCTGATTCAAGTTCACCCAATGGCTTGTAGGAAGTCCCGGAGCTAGCTTGTGGAAGCAGTGTGTGAACATGCGGATGCTGGCACTGGGTTTGATAGGTGGAAATCCTACTGTGTGTGCATGCTGAATTAGCAACTCCTGGGGGAGGGGTGATGTGAAACATTAAAAAATAATAATGACTTTTCCTCTTATGAGCAGTCAGTTTATGCCCTTTGCTCATGTATCTTTTAGGAATCACTGATTGTTTTAGGTTTGTTTTTGTTAACCATTCTGAGTTCTCTAATAAGTTTATGAAACATTTATCTACTAACTGCTGCTTAGATTGCATTTATTGTTTTCCCTTTTAAATGCATTCCATTGTTTATAATCCAATATCTTCTTTTAAACTGAACACAATCAAACATCTTCTGATATCTTTAATGTCCTTTAAACTGAGAGGGTTTCCTTTGTTCTTTGAGAAACTTGATAAAAAACAATTCAGAGTTTCTTCCATTTTTTTATAGGAAACAAGCCCATTGCCATTGAATTGATTCTAGCTCCGAGTAACTGTATCCAGGGTTTAGGAGACTGTAAATCTTTGCACGAGCCGACAGGCTCACCTGTCTCCCTCAGCCGGTGGGTTTGAAAGGCTGACTTCTCAGTTATCAGCCTCACCCTCAGCACCACCAGGCACCTTAATTGTTTGCAAGTCACCCTTTATTTCATTCAGAATGGGTTTTGTACACAGAGTTCACTCCTTCCTTAGTGACACACACAACGTATGCTTCTCGCTGCCAGTGGACTCCAGCGCTCAGCAACCCTACCAGACACGGTAGAACCGCCCCAGCGGGTTTCCCAGACTGTAACTCTTGATGGGAGTCGAAAGCCTCGTCTTTCTCCCGGGGAGAGGCTGGTGGTTTTGACTTGCCGACCTTGCAGTTATCAGCCCAACATGTAACCCCCCAGGGCTCCCTCTGTAAACCTAAATGTGAGTCTAGACGCAGGCGACAACTTTCCCACCAAAGGGGACAGAAGCTGAGTCAGCCCCACCTGCTGAGCAAGCACTTGGCCAATCCCCAGGCACACTGGGTAGCCCTGAGCTTGCACTCCAGGGACTGGGACTGGCTGAGAACCGTGGCCTTGACATTCTCTCATCACCTGGGGAAGTTCTGTAGCAGCTGCTGAGCCACATGCGCACTCCGGGGCTGGGGTGTCCAGCCTGCCTCAGTGGAACTGTAGGCAACGCTCCCAACGTGATCTGCGCGCGCTGCCTCCAATGGGGACAGGCCAGGCCTCAAACTCCTCCTTTTGCTTTGGGGCCTCTGCCCACATCCTTCCCTCCACGAGCATCTCTGTGCCGTGCCGCCCCGCCCCCACCGGCCTGCTGGAACTCATCAATAAAAGTTTCACAGGTGTTTTGCTTTGCTCTTTACAAATCGAATGAATGGGGCTCGGATGGAGGTTGAGACTCAGACTTGCTGTGTGCCTTAGAATAAAGTCACAGCTTTGGTGGAGGCCCGTTGAAACCC